AGCAACGTAGTGTTGTTCAGTCTCCTTTTAATTTCATATCCGTCCCGCTTTGCCTTTTGGTTTTACTTGCTTTAAATTTATATACTTTAACACAGCTAAATGTATAGTATTTACTGTGAGGAAACATTTTCAAATATCTGCAATAAAACCAGGATAAAATAATATATATAGCACATTAACAAACATATGAAATACTCTAAATCTAAAACCCAAAATTCTCATTTCTGCAAGTCATTATAGTCCTCTTTATTTCATTTTATTCCCCAGTTTGGATAAGATACTTTAGAATCATGAAGCTCTCCAGGTATTAGGCAGCTTTGTTTCAAGTGTATGACCTGGGATTCTATTAATGATCAGTTCTGACCCCTACACCTCCCCGTAGACTCCTAGAGATAATGAGAAGAGAAGGGAATTATCGATCAAAAATAACGTGGCTTCCTTGTGGATCCTCAGTTTCTGTGTTAAACAAAATCAATCAATGCCAACTGAAAAGCATGTTAATCATAATGTATGAACAAGCTATATGAACTAAGATTCTATAGAAAACAATACTCTTGCAATGCTTGCAAAAGAATTAAAACTTTATTAAAATTTAAAAAGTAAAAAAAAAAAAAAAAAAGGCTTTGATTCACAGCATAAGTAGTCTGAATGCTTTGAATTCAGCTCCCTGAGCTCCAGCTATTCCAAATTTACGAATTTTGGATATGAGGATCAATATCCTGGGATTTCTCGTAGCATTTTTTGGTCATAAAAGTAGCCAGAACTCAAATCTAGAGCATGAGAATCTTCTAATTACAGAATTCAGGTAAGCAAATTAAAGATTGCCAGCCTCATTTTCTCAAGCAATTAAACTACTTTGCTCATACCACTTTTCCTCTCATCAACTGTTTCTATTTTCTGGAGAAAATTGCTGTTTATTTTTGAGCTATAAATATACATTGGACAGAATGACTGGAATCTATTGAACATTTAAATGTTCATCCCATTCTTGTCAGGTTAATATACTTGTATTTTAAGAAACACTTTGGCATAACAAACTTTATTTTCAGATAGATACGAACCTCGTGAAAGAACGCAAATGATGGTGCATGTGTACACACATTGTTATCAAAGACTTTTTGTCACTTGCTTTAAAACAATTTGAAATTAGTGAAGGTACTGGACAAAAACAGAGAATAATTTCTATCTTCCAATCTCTCACAGGCTCCAGCTTAAAAAACTGATGAAGCTTGACTGACACACAGGGAAATTACTCTGGTGATAAACCAGATGCGATGTTGAAATATAATATCTTATCAAAGTAATGCAACTGAGGTCATTGCTATGGAATTTGATCTCCAAAAAGGGACCAGGGAATGCTAGTTGTCAATAATAATAAAGTAACTAAAAGGGCAGGCAAATTACTGTCATAATATCATAAAACCTACATTCATGAATAAAAATTACACCACAACCAAACATACCAAATATACATGATGACTCGTGGGTTTAGGAATGAAACAATCAACCTTAAATCAAGCTTGAGATCAGGTTGAATATTGATGCCATTTTTTCAATTTAAATTAGCAATCTGCCATACTTTAAGACTGCTAGAAAAAGATAAAATCAGCACTCTCCATCACAGGGAAACCTTCCAAGAAAAACTCTGTTCTTCATGCTTTGCTCAGATCAAACCCTAGACATTGTATTTTCATTTTTAAGAATTCCATTTTTATCTATCTGACGTATATTATCTTTCATTTCTTAGGAAACTACCTTAGCTGATGTAGCAGTGGAAATCAGAGTGGATTTTAGTAATTAACTCAGGACTTACTCTAAGAGCTACATTGACACGTGCAATCTCAGACAACTCTTGTGAGGTTTAAGAGCCGTTAAATTACTTAGTCTTTTTGCTGCAATAATTGATACTTTTATTTCAGAGCTCCAGGAAATACACAGCATGACTGAATATATTCTAAGGCACTTCATTAATCAATGAACAAATGGTAGCCAGGTACAACACAATGTTTTTTAAGGTTGTAAAAGTTATCAACTTTGGTACTGATTCTTCAAAACACTCTCTTGCCAGAAGCTGTTAGCTAATGTTTTCTTGAGAGTAGGTTAGCAGGTCATGCTTAGCAGGTCACCTGCTTCCTTCACAAATGACTTCGCATTAGTTATTTAAGGTCTAAGGTCTAATTCTGCTACCTTGCTTCAAAAATAATCTCATTAAAATCATGGCAATATAAAGAGTAAAACTAAAAGAACCAAATCTTTGGAAAGTAAACTGGGATGAAAAAAACACTGCCCAATGTAACTTTATTGTTTTTGACAGCAGAAATGAAATCTCAAATAGAAATTATGTTCCTAACATCAACTATAATACAGAAAATTTACAAAAAGCATACTCTGTGTCCTATTTCAGAAATCTCAGAGAAGGATTTATTTGTTTGTTTGGAAAACGGGATTTATAAGAAGAAAGTGAATGAAATGTCTGCTAGGCAGAAGATTTCTGTAGAGGAAAATACCTTTTATGGGGAAAAAAAAAAACCACAAAGAAAAAGTTTGGCTGTTGCACTCCGAAACCAGCAGTATTTGACTTAATATCAGAGACAAAACTGGCTTTTCTCAGACACAATTTTATGTAGATTTCATGTCCAGAAGAAATCATTTAGTAGCTCTGTTTTAAACACTTTGTTCTAGAAAGAAATATAAACAGTACGGAAAAATTCAATGCATATTCTTTAAACTATGAACCTGTTAAATTCACAGATGGATACTTGTTAGTCAATGGGCAATTTATCTGCCAGCTTTATTTGCAAGCAGAAGATTAGAGACAGGATAAAGTGCTTATTTATTCTTTGCTATATAATTGTGTTTATATGAACTATGTAAAATTATGTTTTTTAGCTTAATTCACAAATAAAACCTACAGATCAAAGATTTGGCTTGTGCCTTTTTCTTAATAATTAACTCGATATACAGTTCTAGGTATCATTAATCTTTTTGAGCTTTGATTACATAAGACCCCTAACAGTTTCCAGGAAAGCAAAGTAGCATGTCCTACATGTCTTGCAGTTATCACTCTTAGCAAAGGGCTCAACTTCCGAACTAACATTTCACAAAATACAGAACCGTGTTATTAGATCTTATTAGAACTATGTAGAAAAGCTTTAAAAAATGAATGATAATACTTGGACAGATAAGTTCATGGGAAGCTCAACTGATGAACTTCCCACTTATTTTTCAGATGTGGAGTATTACATAAAGAACCTTCTCCGATTACACAATATCTACCTATAGATCCTGTCATGCAGTGATGACCAAGCACATTGAAAGAAAAAGCAGAATTAGAAATAGTCCTTCTTTTATTTAGTTCCCAATAAAAGAAACAAATCAATAAATAAATAAATCAATTTCAAATATTAAATGGCCTCAGACCTTCCATACTTGGAAACTAAGCTAATATTGGCGGATGAGGTATAGTCATGTCTTCTTACCGACATGTACTTTCTAGCTACCTAAAGTCTCATCACCACAGGTGTCTTAAGGTAAGGCAGAGAAACAGTGAGTAGCAGCGAGTGCTAGACCTGATGTATATTAGGCACTCAGGATGAGGTAACTTACTCTAAGAAGGTGCCTTTTGCTCATCATGGGGTATAAAGAAAAACTGGAGTTACTAGGTTAGATAAATAACTGGATATCCAAGTTACAACAGATGCATCTCACCACAGGCCATCACTGACTGAGGAAAAAATGTTTTTATTTCCCTTCAGATATGCAAAACTCCTATTTTCCCTTACAACTTTGCTGCTTTAAAACGGGAAACATATGTTGAGTTTTTAAATTGCTAACAAGTATTTTTGCTAAAGTTACAACTATAAATGACAAAATAAAATAATTCATTTCTTAAACAATTAAATCTTATGATCTTACAATAAAACAGGAAAGGAAGGAAAAGAATTACTGGATATAGTATCACATTATGAAAAAGACAGCTAAGAAACCATCTTACAGAGTACCAAAAACAGTAAAAGGAAAATGCAAAAATAGAATGTGCATGTTGTTCTATATTTAGCTTTGTGGGTAGGCTCTGAAATCTCCTTTGAGCTGTCTTCTTTGATAATGACTGGTAAGACAACTCTGAGGCAACAGTAGGCTGTTCTCAGCAATATTTTTATTTGAGGACTCAAACCAGTCAGTATTCAAAGGCAATCTGTGAATTTATTACAGTTCTATACATAAGCATCTTCTTTATACTTTTGTTAGCTGAGCCTAGATCAGAACATACCATTTTGCATCAACTTTTTTCAATATATCTCCAATTTTAACATGAATGCTTGCTAATAGCCTTGCACTGGCAGACCTGTCTTGAAGATTGTCCCATTGTTACTGTCTTATTTAGCTGTAACACAAGAATTAATTTGTCTCAAAAAATGATTTCAAAGTGAAATACTTTCATACCTCCCTGTACGTCAGCATTTTTGCAGCTGCATGCTATCACTGCATCTGCAGTGAATCATACAAAATCATCTTTTTAAGGACACAAGAAATGCTGGACATGTGAGGTATATTCAGACACTATATCCCAGCTACAGTATCAGTGCTTTCTTCAACAAATTTAACTATCACACAGGAGCTTCCTAGTGGCATAAAACATTTGAGGCTCTTTTTGCAGTGTTTTTTTTAATGTTATAAAGAATAAAAAGTAAGGGGAAAAAAAAAGCCATTTCACTGCTAATTCTGTCATCACATGCAAAATATAACAGCACCATACCCTTAACGTTCAACTTCAGATCAAGCTAAAACAAAAGTGAAAATTCTAATCAAAAAAATTGTAACTGAAATATCTATACTATTAGTCATTGATACCCTTTCAAGGAATTTGAATAGTATTGCCATTGCTAGTTGGGACACATGAAAATTTCTTTTATGAGTTTTTAATTTTTATGACAAACTACCAGTTTACACCACTTTTGTATTGGCAGATTGTATTGATTGAATAGATCTTTGCTTCTTACCATCAACACAGGCTGGCCTTGCTCTTGTTGTACCGGCAATCTGTCCTTTTTTACATGCACAGCGAGCTGTTTGTCGGGCTATAGTCCTTCGGGGCTGACTGCTATCTCTGTCCAAAGTAACAATCTCACATGTACCTGCAGCCAGTTGACCTGGAAAAAGAACCAGCAACAGGTACCAGAGTCACTGAATGCACTACAGGCAATCTATTACAGCTGAGTAGAGTCATGGCCCTATGTCACCGCAGACATTCCACAACAAATGGGCAGCCAGCTGATGGATATAATCAAACCGAGATGACATACAATTTTTCTTTGTGGTGCACATACGCAAACCCTGCAAACTGGTTCTGTCAGTAAAAGATTATTGTTCCATAAAAGCCAGTGAGCTGAGGTCACACAGGTTACTTGTACTTATGTTGGCTAAGTAAAGGAACAATCTGCTTTCACAGCAATGAAATTTAAATGGTGTGCTCTTTATGTACTTTCAGAAAAGAAATTATAAAGTATACGGAAAATAGAAAAACTTCC